GTAGTAATTCACACTTTTAAAAACTTGCACTGAGGCAGACACATATGGACATAAATAGAAGGTTCCTTCATGTAACACATTCAACTTTTCAAGAGTGAAAGTTGAAGATATGATGCAATTAAAAATTAAGATTTTTTTAAGAAAAATAGTAATTATGCTAATTAATGCAAATTTTAACGATGCGCTCTTTTTTTCTTGGGCAGTCGATAACTTTTTAATGGAATCTCCTATTCAGCTCAAATTTTTACTGTGTATTCCACTTGAGTGCATGTGTGCAATGAATAGACAATTCTTGAAAATTTTCACTTAAAAAGGAAATAATGGCAAAAAACCATGTTTCCATGGTAACGGCTACCATATTTGAAATTTGAAAAATTCCTCTATTCATTCCACTTTTCATATTATTTGCTACAGACAGTGAAAATTTCAAGAAGATTGCTTATCATATGTAAAAGTTATCTCCTGCCCAATTTCATGATTCCCAAAAACAGTGTTTTTGAGAAAATTGACTTTAAAGTTTTGGCTATCTTTTTCAATATTCTTGGATCTATCTGGGGCCATAACTTCATATTTACCCCCAGTTTGGCCTAAAAAAGACTAAGCATTATTTAATATACTTATTTTGCTAATAAGTTTTCAAATTTTCACTATATTCTCCAAAGGAACTGCAAATGTTATTGGGATGTCTGTTACTATGTCATCAGAAACAGATTGGTCAACTTTATTTTGTTTGCTGCAATCAGAGTACTGATTTCTCTTTCTTCTTTTAGTTGAGATTGGCTTTTCACCTCTACTGTCAAAGGCCCCAGGTTCATAATGTTCTTTTTCAGATCTTTTCATGTTAGTTTTGGTCCTTTTTCTACTTATTCGCCAACTCTTATACTTTGAAGTGACTTTCTGTGCTGCAGAAATTTGGCGAATGTGGTCTTCCTTCTGAAGAGACTTCAAAGATTCCTCTCCAATATCCTCAATTCCAGCTTCTTTTAACATTAGTGCCCTTGATCCAGCACCAGTGTTAAAACAGCAAACTGCTTCTGATACTGCAGACTCTATTCTAACTTTGCTACAGAAGGTTGCTTTGGGACACCTTTCCCAGATCATATGGTTTAGACTCTCATTTGCATTTTGCGTTACACCTTTCAGGCATCTCTCAAGCAAATCCTTTGATGTCAATCTTTTGAAGATTGGCTCTAAAATGCCAAAAAAGGAGCTTGGTAACCTTTTGCTTCCATCATAACTCTTCTTGCCAGTAGTTAGCTCTGCATTAAATTTGCACCAAGAGTCTTTGCCTTTAGGGCAAAATTTGTGCTGATCATTAAGGGTAGATGCTGTTGCTGGCATGACTGAATGGTGAAAAATTGCCCAAACATCATTCTGCATCTGAGCCAGGTTACCTCTGTTGGCTCTTATGGAATTACCAAAATACCTTTGGAAACTGTCAATTCTTTCTTTTGTCAATCTCCCTTTACCACCTATTGTTTTCCCATCTGACATCTTTTTACCTTTCATTTCTTTCAGAAGTGTTCTTAGGGCATTTCCCATACGCTTCTGTATATGTCCTATGCATTCCTCCTTTACAACCTGATACCTGCTTCCATAAGCTCTTTCCAATTCCTTACTCACAACCTTGAAGGTGTCACTGTCACCATCTCCAATAAACGTTGTATATTTTAATCCCCTTCCTTCAATTGATCTTAGGAAAATTCTGGCTGCACCAATTCCTTCCATACCACCAGATGAACCTTCATAATTTATTTGACAAGAGGCATCGTGTTTTGCTTTCCACCTTTTAAAAGCTTCACTATCTTTATTTTCATGTTGATGTTTTCTGCATTCATGGCAATGCATTGACAATACTTCAAAATCGACAACCTCGCCAGTTTCCATTAGAACCACGACAACGACTCCATACTTAGAAGAGTATCCTCGTTTTTGCCATGTTCCATCAACACTGACAGCAACAGAAATAGTATTATCCATATCATCTAGATAGGCATTTGGATTCTGTTCCAAAACACTTTTCTTAAGACGATTTGCTGCATCCTTCATCTGTTTTTCAGCAACTTCTCTTGAAATTTTGGCAGAAGACTTCAACTGCCTTGCATAGGAAGCACTAGTTAGTGGTGAAGGTAAATTCATCATTCCACAAAAATTTGAAAGAATTTTGCGTCCACCTTTCAAAGAATTGCATGCCATGACTGATCTTGTGTTTACTTCGAATTTACCTTTGTCTAACTTTTTGCTGGTGTGGAAGATTGTCTCTGCTGAGCAACAAGAACACTTAATGATCAATGTCTCAGCAAGCCCATGCTTCTTTCTGCTATCCTTCAAGATCTTCAACTGAGAATCTGATCTTTTACAAGCTCTACAATTGGTAGAGGATTGCAAAGCTTCTTGGAGCAGAGACAGATCAATAATAGTGAAACCATCAGCTTGTTCAATTTGCTTTTGCTTAGAAAGGCCCAGTTTCTTCGATGATCTTCTTGTAATCACCCTCATACTATCATTTAGTTCTTCAAACGATGAATTCAACAATTTTTGTGCTGTCCTAGATTGAACTGAGCTCGTTGGTGTGAACGACGAACTGGGCTCCACATCGTCACTAGGCCTAGCGTCAGATTCAAGTCTACTAGCAATATCCTGCTTGCGAATGCCAAAAAACTTCCTTTTCCTCTTAACTCTACTTGCTAGAGCCCTTCTTTTATTCGGTGGCATGTTTTACTTATAATATCGATTCAATAAAGGCATTATCAGAATAAATTTGTATTCTGTTTCGCAATCCAACATCTACGTGACTGTAAACAACATAGTCACATCTCTCCTATACACACTATGTATGTAAGCAAAACCTTTCGTTATACATGCTATGAATGTATTTAAGTGTGCGCAGTACAGGTCCAAAAACACTATAAGAGACGCATGCAGCGTTGTAGAATGTATAGCGAAAATTACAAGAATTTTTAGCGCCGATCGCGGTTCTTTATCAAATCTGGCAAAATGAGCGAGAAGGGGAGCAATGGTGAGATGAAGTTGTCGTTATATTTTGCTACCCCATCGGTCATGACTCATCTTGTCAGGAAAGCTTTTTTTCCCCAAAAGCAATGCTAGGCTACTACAAATCACCCAAAACCCGTGTCTAAATTTCCCGGTTTAGGAATTTTTCCTGCATCAAGAAGGTGCATTTTTGAGAAAAACCTTGCCCCAGATGCCCTGTCATTAGCATGGTTGTGAATTCTAGAAGCTCCTGCTGGAGAAATAGACGTGAGATAGAAATATGTGTCAAAAGCGTTATATTATTGAATAGGCCTATCCTACATGTCTGTAATTTTGTGAAAATATAAACCAAAACTCCAAACGTTGATAATTATGCTACAACCTGACTAAAAGTGGAACTTGAGTTGATGGGTTCTGTCAATATCAAATATTAATACCGCTTTCGATTTTGAAAGTTAGAATTATTCAATTTTCTTACTGTAAATCCTCAAATTAGCTCCTACCTCGGTGAAAGCCCCCCCCCCCCCCATGAATAAACCCCATCTTAAAAATCATATTTTTGCAAATAACCCCCCCCCCTCAAATAAGCCACCATGGGAAGCATTATTGACAACTTACTAGCTGGTTACTAGCTTCCCCCACAAAGGTTAATTCTAATTCATACTCAGCTACATTAGCTTTATGGTATGGTATTGCATCTTGGGCTGACGACAAAATAGCACAAAGGAAGGCAGCCTTTGTCATGCTATAAGTTTTGTCAGATTTCAACAAACAAATTATGTTCCTTTAAGTTTACGATTGAGGAAAATACCAACATTTGAAATAAGCCCCCTCCCCTGAATAAGCCTCTCCCCAGGGATTTATGGTATAGCGATTGGGGTTAAGCTAGAAAGTACCAGTTTCTTCATATTCAGTACCTTTTGTAAATGTTGAATTCCATTGTATACATACATAAGCAACAACTTGCGATTTGCAAATGATCTTATACTATCACTTTTACTCTTTTTCGATGTCCAGAGGGGAAATGTGAAGATCTTGTACTTTTGGATGGTTTTGTTATCTGACCTTAAACCAGAGAATTCCCTGTGAACACTAGTAAATTTCTTTTATAATTTGCTTAGTAACACCATTCCAATGGTTGTGTTGAAAATTTAATCTTTATTTACTTTTTGCTTGTTTTCTTAGGGCTTCAAACACTGTTTTTTATGTTGAAAATACTGCTTAGCTTTAATTCATGCCTGCTTTATATTTTGGAGTGCCTTAGATCAATGTCCTGTGGATGAAATCGCCCCTTCCAATGTTTTCAATATAAAGTTAATTGGTATTTTAGTCAATCAGTTAAATGGTACAATTTTGTGTTTACTGAAATTATTTGTTGTTGTAGGTCAGGCACAACAGGGATTTGACGCAAAGGTGAAAATATGCTTGTACTATCATGTGTTTTGTTTTTTGTCACTTTTCATACCCAATGAAACCCCAGCAAACTTGTTTGTTTTGCAAACAATTGCTTGAGAAACAGGAAATTCAAGGGTTCAAGCTTATTTAGACATCTTGAGAGTATATTTTACATTTCAGGTTTGCCAATATGCTTGGAACTATGTAAATATATCTTTTTTAAAATGAATGCATTATGGTTCTGAAATCAAGAAAGGTTTAGCTTTCCCTCTATCAGTTGTGAACTTGATATTAAACCAACTCATTGTTCTTATAAAACACCTTCTTCATTTATTCTTCCAATTCACTCCTATAGATGAAGAATGCAAATTACCTGTTCTCAAAATTCATGTTCACTTTGCAGGCCTAACATTCTGAAAATTGCTGGCATGTGGTGGATTGCATGCCTTATTATACTGAGGCATTCAGTGATGTGCAATGAAGTGTTTAAGGAAGTTTTTTCCTTGTTCTTGTAGTTTTTCAGTTTTAATAGAGTTCTCAAGTGTGACGCCACAAAAAAACTATACCTTTTTATAATTTTCCAATTTTGACCACATAACACAAGAGAACACAATTAACTACTCTAATATATGCAAAATCAGTTAAGTTCAATATATGCAAAATCAGTCAAAAATTGGGCGAGCTATGGCCAATAAAAGATTTGAAGTTTGCTTACATATTACTGGTATTTTGTCTCAGTTCATAAAGTTACAGAGGTTTGATGGGACCAGGGCTTGTGCTTATCTGATCATATCCCAGCCAATTTGTAATACCTTTATCTGATTTTGCAGATTTAGTGGTATTTAATGAGGAAAAATTTTAAAAAAAGATTTTGTGACATTATCACCTGACAACTCTATTCCTGTTAAATTTTTTTATTTTCCAACATAAGGTAGCAACATTATAAATTCTTCTGATGGCTGCTCTTCTAATGAGTTGCCTGTCATTTATTATGAATGCAACTGAGCCAATTAATCATTAAGGAATATGTGTGCAATCACTAACATTCAACTTTTGATGGCAACCAGGGGTGTAGTGCTAGGGGGTCTCAGAGTGCTGAGCCCCCCTTATAAATTCCAAAATGTAGCCAATTTCTACTTAGCTATTGTAATTTCAACATTTTGTTCAAGAGCCCTTTCTATTATTTTGATAGCACTACAACCTGGTGGCAAACTTACTATATCATAAATTGAGGGAGAAAGTTGTTTAGTTGATATCAAAGATCAAACAGGCTCAAATGGGTTCATGAGAACACAAAATGCTTAAAACTCAAGATTTACAAAAAATATTTCTGTTTTTATCTGCCTTAAGTTTTTATCTTTGATGCTCTTGAACAAACCACAAATTTTGCTCAGTCAAATGACAAGTTCTTAGTTCCTGAAATTTCTCTAAGGGAATTAATCAAAAATGTATTATCCAGCTGTTCATCTTCTTGGCTGCTGTCACTTATTATCCAAATCCTTGTCCCACAAAAAACATTTCTCTTGATACAAATTCCACATTTTCTTTAGAAGTTAGCCCTGAGCCATAGATACAACCAGTGGTGCCTTCAAGACCAGGGGAGTGGAGGGTCATCAATAGAAAAATTTCCAGACGAAGATATAGATAGAGAAGAATTTAGGTGCTATTTCACCTACTGATAGATTATTCTACCGACAAACTAGGGATTTTGTAGACAAACTGAAGATTTACCAACATATTCACACAGTATGAAGTTATACCCCCTACACCCCCCAGCTAGCTACGCCCCCTGGAAACAACTATTGACTTTTACTTACACCTTTAAATATCCAATAATGATTATTTATTTTATTGTTTTTGTAAAAAGACATGACATAGTCTTTGCAGGATTTTAGAGGCTATTTTTCTGTAGATGTCTAGGAAAGTGTTTACTGTCCACATTGTTAATCTTAAACAGGATCCATGCAAAGTATTTCCTACAGGATTGGTTTTGGCTCACATTTTCTCAATAGATCTTGCTCAAGTCTTTGGCTATTTTTACCTCTAATTACTGGTTTCATTGCACTTGTTTCAAGATGATAAATTTTACTTCAAAAATGTCAATTTTTCAAAGTTTATAGGCTTACAGTTGCGTAAAAAAATTTACTTCAATCTTTGGTTATTTTACGGCGAAAATTTGTCTGCCTTACAAAGGTGTCTGTCAAGATAGTTTTCTTTCCTATCACAAATGCATGTCCCTATAAACCAAGACATTAGGTGTATATGTGATAACATGGAACATTGTGTTTAGATTCCCATTCCAAGCAATTTGAAAGCACAGAAATATCGTTATTTGTGCTACTTTTTTCAGAGAAATGGCTTGAAAGTTTGCTCAAATTGCAATCAGTCTTGTGGCTTAAGGACTATCAAGTGCAAGTCATGTGGCTCCGCCTTTAAAAGAAAGCAAAAGAACTGGGACGAAATTTCCGATCATGCAGCAACTATGAAAGACTCCTATATAAAGGAAAAACTTTACGAAAGAGTGTGTTTACATTACAAGATTCATTGGCTTTCTGCATTTAATCTTTATTATCTCTCAAAAGTGTATTAATTTTATGTTCTGTTTTTATCTAATAGAGCTGGCTATTTGAGGCAAATCTTATTCTTACTTCCCCTCCCGCAAGCCAAGAAGAACTGCGAGTCTTTTCATAATGAGAAAAAATTGTTCCCCTATAATTTTCACCAATTCTCTTAATCACATTGCTGGGTATGAATATTCTAATTAAGATAGTTACCCTGCTAGACTTGTTGCAAAAGGACCTGGAGGTTAATATTTGTTGATTTGATTTTGGCACAATGTCTTCCGCACTCAAGTTTTCATTAACAAATTGATTAGGATCCCAGACTTTTTTCGTTTTTGGCAATGAAGAGATAGGACAGTGGGCATCGTAACCCTATTTCTTCTGTCCCTTGTAAGCAGGGTAAAAGTCCCTTTTTCATTTCTTGAAACCTTTTTTCCACAAGCAGACTTCATTCATGACAGTAAAATATATTTGTGTGTTTATGTTTAACATTTTCATTTTAAAAAGTCTTATTCTAAGTACGTACCTGCTAATTGCTCAACTGCTAATTGCTGCAAAATAAGTATAATCCCAGGTATAGTAAAACTGTAAAACAAACTGGAGCTTGAACATTTTTTTAAAATTTAATGCAGGAAATACGTCTTTTAGATGGACCAACTAGCAACAAAACCTGGGTGGACTGGAGTCCTCTTCCTCATTCACGACAGCAACCCAACAAGTAAGCAAGGCAGAGTTTATGCTCATTCATATGCCACAAAAGGTGCCGGTGAGAAAATAGAGGAGGCGATAAAAGATAAGGTCTTTAAAGCAATGAAGGCCTTTCCTATTGGTAAGTAGATTTAAAGTTTCAATGTTTCAATGTTGAATAAAATTTAGTTTATATTTAACAGATTACTGTATCAATATATAGCACTGTATATACACTCTGTAACTTATCAAAATATTGAAATTTTTTCTTCCATACGATAATTGTGTCACAAATAATATGTCTCAAAAACGGCAATTGTTTTGCATCAAATTATTTTCGTCTGCGCTGGACATGAATTCAAATCACGACTTTTCATTTAAACAAAGTTTGAGCAGAGATTTCAGAATTGCATATAGTACAAACAACTATGGATTTCGTATTGTAATTTTAGTATCTTTTCCATTTCCTCTTCACTAGCTTGACTTTTGATATGGTAGGAAAGTTTTTACTTTTCTACGTTTGTGTAAATAGTGTTTAAGAGGACTTAATACATCAACTTCCTATGTAGATGATCCCTTTTGCAGTTAATTCTAGGTTGACCCTGCGAGGTTGTCCTTGAAGGGCTTTAGGAGGTCAGGGAGCCATAGCTGGAAGATCTATTCAATCTAGCAGACCTATCCAGTGTTCGCAAAACATTTATGAAGGTGTCAAGAAACACATTTTATATGTTGCCAAAACTGTGATTCCGAACTTCAAGATGCCAAAAAATAATTAGATCATGCCTTTTGAGCTATATACAGTAGAGCTTGGTAACTTTTTCCCTTCTTTCATGCTTTGAAACAAATTTTTTTGTAGGTTCAACAACTTCATCTGCATCGGCCAGTCATCTATCTGCTGCTCAGTCTGACCCAGACGACCAGACATCCCCACCAATCTCATCTCCTGCTCTAGCAAATCCGGACGACCGGACATTGCCATCAACCTCATCCACTGCTCTAACCAATCTAGATGACCAGACATTCCAAGCAAATGTTGAATTAAGTCAACCTGTTACTACCTTATCTGCCACTAATCCATTGATGGCAGATATATTAGAAACATCCCAAACCTCCTTGAAAGAATCTGAGCCAAATCTTCAATCATCTCTTTTGCCAACAACTGCACTCACAACCACTGTTACCGGTCGAACATCTCTGCCAGTTTCGTCAGCACCTCAGCATCCAGCAGCTGCAAGTTCAAAGCGCCGTACTGGAAAGGTTGTAACAGTTGGGAAGAAAAGTTTTTTTGTTTTAGACACCTGATAACTAGATGTATACAGGACATTCTTCTTTGCAACATCTAAATTTATTTCCAAAAGTGTATAACGTTTTTTTCTGTTCTCAAGTTTCAAGTTTCAAGTATAGAGAAACGTATTCTTGCAGGATTTTTTTCATTTTTTATAATTAGGGCCAATAGATTCAATGAAATGTCTTTAAAAATAAGCTTTATAATAGTCTAAGTATAATACAATTTTGTTTATTCATTGTACATAGTATTTTTTCATGTAACCTTTTCAAATGATATAAATGATTTGAAGACAATTTTTTTAGAAAATTGACTATATATTGCGCTTCCCTTAAGTCACTCCCCTGTTTGGTTGTTGAATAATTTCAATAGGATTTCAAATTGCTCTTGACTGAAAAGTTGATACAGTAAAGCGTTTTAATATGCAAATAATACCTTTTTTACTGTAGCCCGCATTTAACAGAGTATTTTGATTCTAAAAAACGACGTTCAATGCTCTATCTGTTTATGCCTCTCTCTGTTCTCTGTTAGACACAAAAACTACTTTTAGATATGCCTGCTTCCAGACAAAAGTCTTGCAGGTCTTGATTAAGATAGCCGTTTCAAGAAATACTTTTGCACATAGCTAAACCTCAATAAACTAAATTTGAAGAATTTCTGCAAAGATGCAGATCGTTTGACGAAGGAAGGAAATCTTTAAAGATGTCATCACTAGAAAAAGGGGAATCGCTCTAAAAGGGGACCTTCGTAGGAATATTTTGGCATACGAAAGGTACCATTAGCTAAATCAATTATGCAATTGCTTCGAAGAGAATGTAATCGAAATGAAAATGATATAAAGACCCACCTTTAAGAAACTCATTTCATAAAAACAGCCTGATGGTTTCTTATTTGCAAATATACTTTTTCAAAACAGGGTATATGTACCATGGTATTAGAAACTTTACAGTAAAGTCTCACAAGAAACCCACTTTTTCAATCAGCCTATTGAGCCTATTGATTCCCTTAATTGGCCAATTGGTCTACTATTGTTATGGCAAAAAAACAGGGTCTGAATTTCTTGAAAAATGTTCTAAAAAAGGCAGGACTTTGTCGTATTTCACACGATCTCTGTTAACAGATAGGATGCTTTTGGTAGCCAGATGCAAGTATCAAATTTGTAAAATTGTGTCTGCATGTTGTTTATTGGTTGATCTATCTTTCTTTTGGGTTTTGTAAAGCAGTTGAAAACTTGCTAGTTCTAGCTTTGAAGAAACATAGAAATATATAAACCGTATAATATTACTATGTACCTTTTTTAAAGAAACTGTGTATGAACTAGCCTGGATGGTTTCTTACAAAGAGGTGTTTTATTTAGCAAAATCAGGCCTGAGTTTCTTATAATGCAGTTTCTTAAAGGCGGGACTTTACTGTAACGGCTTTGATAAACCAGAAAAGATTAAAAGTTCTCCTATCTTGCTTAAAAAAGATAAAAACTTGCTGAAAAACTGAACATTCAGGGCTATGAAAAGGAATAATGGGCCTTCCAAAAAGTATTCTTAAGAAATAACATCAACTATATTTTGAATTGCTTAGCACACGAAAAGGATATACTTTGCAAAAAATGGGGGCACAACCAACGTTAGTCCCCCAGGCTCCAAACCTTTGGCGCGTCAATAATAGGGGGCGTGGGGGCGTGACGCCCCCCCCCCCAAGGCTGGAAAATCCGACTGTAGTTGGAAAACTTAAAAGTTCACTTGGAATTTTTTCTAAATATTATGACCAAATATGTGAATTTTATAGCTTAGGATTTTGGGACTTTCAATGTAAGAATCTTAGATCTTATTAAAATTGAAACTCTGGAGCAGGCATATCTTCGAATCGTTTTAATTGTGAAGCCCTGTTTCCACTGGATCTCAAATTGCACCACTGCATCGTTTGTTTTCTTTTTACAGTGGTTAAGTTGAATTAGATTATTTTAAACAGAACAATTGAAAGTGGGAATTTTTTAAGAAACAACAGGTAGCCAATTCAATTAAAAACATTAAAAATCTTTCATTGCTAGAAATTCTCAACGCTTCCTAACGGGTGTATGCTAAGCTCCCCCCCCCCC